ATACACAAAAATCTGACATCTATAGCTTTGGGATTTTAATGTCAGAAACATCAACACATCAACAGCCATTCAAAGATGTACCACATGATCTAGATCTTGCTATCAAGATCTGTGGTGGCTTAAGGCCTAGTTTTTCAGATGATACTCCAGAATGTTATATTAAGTTAGCACACAAATGCATGGATGCTGATCCTGAAAAAAGACCAACAGCTGATGAAATTTTAAAAATGATTACTTTTTGGAAAGATGCAATTGGATCTAGGATTTCTAGCTATTCTGAAGAACAGCTTGATGAATTAAAAGAAATAAAAAAAAATTTTGAGGAAGCAGAGAAAAAACCCTTTAATCCTTCAACAATTACAGCAACTGTTCATCCAAATGCTGTTTATACAAGTAGATTATTGAATTTTAGAAATCTTCCTCAACCTGTAAACTCCAATAAAGTTACAATTATTAGCAATAATAATGGTAATTATCTAATTATTGTTAAATATTTAATCTTAATTATTTATTATTAATGATATTTTAAATTATATAGAATCTCAACAAATTGAATTTATGAATTCATCTGATTATTGAATTTTCACATTAGTTTTTTTATTATTATAAGGAAGTGTTATATGGTGAACAAACACCTCTTATTCACTACAAATAATAATAATTGTGAGATAAAATTTGCATCTCACAGTAAATCTCAATATTTTATTTATAATAATATGTCAACAATGTTAATAAAATTTCTTCCAATTTATTTATACTAAATCATAACAACAATTTCTGCAAATATATATTCATGTTTTACTCTCAAAAATATACAGGCAACCCAAAGTATTTTGACACTGTCATAAAGGGGTGTTTTTAATAGTGAGTGCCATAATTAATTTCTACTTTCTACTATCAAAATTGGAATAATTTTGATCATCAAAAAAAATAATTTATCCTAATTAAATGTATACTTGAACCTTCTATTATTTTCAAGTTATTTCTAAAGTGATTCAATCATTTAAATTCCTTTGTTTAAGTTTAATCTGAGAATTAAAGGTCTGTTATATACATGTTGTCAAAAATTAATTTGGCTTAGACTCAATTCCTAAAATCTCAATTTTTAATTGTGACTCAATTATTTTATATGTTTTTTCATACAACTCAATTAATTGCATCAAAAAGTCACCTAATTGAGTAAAGTGATCAATTTCTACCACATTAGTGTTCCATGTCGCAACCCAAAAAAGGAAACAAAATGGTCGTAAAGGTGGTTGCAATCATTCACTAGTTATATTTATTGTATATAAATTTCTCTTTTATTTTAACTTATATTTAATATCATTACTATGTATGATAAATAAATCATTATTTATGTATATAGGAATAAATGTAAAAGAAAAATTTTAATATCTATTTATTATATTTACTTTTAAAACAAATGATTTTATATAAAAGGTATACCTAAATGATCAAAAATTCTGTAAATATTCATAATAATGTATGTAATATTTGGACATTAATTTCTACTTATACTTGCGTCAAACAAAATTTTACATATATGAATATAAAGGCAAATTTTGACTTTTGAGGGTCAGATTATTTTCGATTTTATTAACAACCTGCTTTAAAAATTTTCTTGAAGCAGATACATATGATAAAGAAGTTATATCTCAAATTTGGCAGTGGTTGCTACACAGTTAGGGTATCAAATTAGGGTGTGAAGACATTCGATTATAAAATTTTACTATGTAAATTCGAATTTTACTATGATGCAGATCATCCAAAATTTACTATGTTTTACAACCCCAATAGATTGGTGGGAAATGTCTTGCGACTGGTATTGGGGTAACTTTATAATTAACATAAAAATCATGAAAATTGAAATTAGAAGTTTCCAGGGCCTGTAATGTTGATAAAATAAAACTTTTAACTAAACCCAATTTGGCTAAATGATAGAAGTCAAATAACTTTCTGTACCACGACTCCATTTTTTACAAAAATAATAAGTGGATCGACCAATAATGATAGTGATGATGATATTGATAATGAAACGATCGAAGATGATAGATATTAATGAAAAAAGTAATTTTTTAATCAAATATTAAATAAAAAAATAATTTTGTCATCTTTGCTTTTTTACATATTAAATGATGTCATATTTACTTCATTTTGGTTTTTTTTTTCACATTTTAAATGGTGTCGTTTTGGTTTTTTTCTAATATATATAATAAATTTTACTTTCAACAACAATTCGTCAAATTGACAAAATGTCTCTTGGTGAGAAGCTACCTTTGGTCAACGAAAAAACAAAAATTTGTCAGATATTATTTAATAACACGTTCGTAAGCATTTTTGTCGCGTCAAAAAGATGAAAAAACCGACAAGACAAAAAAGAGAGAATTCAAGAGATAAAATAATACGTTTATGGTTTACAATATTAATATTATTTATGTTAATGGATCAGTTGATTTACACAATAATATTTTTACAGAAGAAGAGTCATCATCGTCAACAACATTATCTTCATCAGAAGATGATTATGTTTACTAATAGCGGTAAACTTTAAGTCGCAAATAGACTCAATATAAAACAAGGACTGAAACAAATACGAAGAAGAATTAAAAAACATAAAAGAAAAATTAAAAGATAACGACATTAACGACAATAATGACAACAACAACAACAACAACGATGATGACGATGATGTGTCGACTCGGAAAAGCTTAAACAATTATTTCACAGTAACAATAGCGGTATATATTCTTTATATAAGACCAATTTAATTATCTTAATTGATTTGATAAATAATTGTTTTAATATTAATAAAATTTCATTTTGATATTTGACATTAGCATGAGGATTCCTTACACCTACTGCTGCTGTTCACTTACATTTATATTTATGTTGTAGAATCCTAATTTTACTATTTTTAAAAATAATTATTAGAGAATTAAAAAAAAGCTTGTTATAAATAAAACATAATAATAGTTGGTTATCCCTGTGTGATAGTAATATATAATAATAATCTTTAGCAGTCCCTCATGGTAGGGAACAATTATTTGACTGAAAATTTTGCCAGTGGCTAATTATTTTATTAAAACAAAAAAATTTTATAACATTTCAAAAATATTAACCAGGAAATTCCTATATACAAAAAGGTTCTTTTTTATGAAATAGTTGTCTTTGACATTTGTGATTTAAATATTTAATAAAGAAATTACATGATTAAGGAAATTTCATGGAGGGCTTGCCTTCTATGCACATTAAAATAGTTCCATCCGAGCTGGTAACTAAATTAAAATAATAAAATAATAAATAATTATTAGAGGAATTATAAGAACCAATTTCCAAGCAAATTAATAAATAAACATAGATAACTTACGAGTCAAGTTTACCAAAAACTCGACAGTTTGAGCCTTAGGTTGGTCAGGATTACTAGGGATCGCATATTGAGCTTTAAAGTCGAGGTGTCCTGCTGGAATTGGACATTCTATATTAAGGGGTTTATGCGGACTTGTACAATAAGCCTCTTGATGTGTGTATATCAATGTGCCATTAAAGTGAGTGGCAGTATCGGTAAAGATGGTTGTTGTTAAAATTTCAACAGTGCTATCCCATATAACGTGTTCAGTAAGGATTTGGTCGGGTACAATTATTGCTGGAGTGTATGTATCTTCGATAACAGTAATGGGAAAGGTACCAGGACATTGAGTATATTTGGCAACATCATCAGCTCTTTTTCTGACATCATTAAGCAGGAATGAATTGATCATTGTTGCGAATGCGAATAAGAACAGGAACAAGAAAATATTATTATTATTATTGATTGTGTGCATTTTCTTTTTTTTTACTTTGATAGAATTCTCTCATTATTTCTATAAAGAAAACAAAACCAAGTCAAGTTTTCTTATAATGGCATTGAATTACCAAATAAGACACACATATGCATACAGCCTTTTAATATTGTCAAATTGCTAAATTAATTGAACATCTGTTTTGGGAAAAAGATCGTTAATCTTTGCCGACCATTTTCATAATAAACTTATTTTCTAAGCTATTAATAGATCACACTATCATAATTTCCATAAAAAAATATATCAGAAGACATTTGAAGCAAAATTGAAAAGAAAACTTCCTTTAAAGTAAAAGCAACAATAATATACGTATAACCTCCATAAATTATTGACAAAATCAAGGATTTGTGTAATACGATTGTTTTCTTCGACATAAAAGGATATCCATTAAACTCTATTTACTTTAAAAGTTTCGAAAATAAATGTGCCACTTTTCGAATTTTTCATTTTCCCATATTAATTTTAATAAGAAATATGCATTTGCGTAATCGTTTGACATTCTAAGAAAATCAAACCTGTTTGATGTCATCTATTGATTGATTGGTATACAGTATGTAAAGCTACATATGAACCAGATTGAAACATATCATTAAAATTTTGATTCTAACCAACAATGTCATTTAAACCAATTATACTACAGTCAAACCTTGTCACAGCTGATGAATGGGACACATAATAATAAGAAAATTTTATTTAAAATCCGTTGTTGGAAAGATTACTATTACTAATATTTCCACAGCGGATTTTTATATGTGAAGTAAAAATTTTAAAAGTCCATTATGACGAGAATTTGATTATTATTATAGTCCGTTGTGATAAGGTTTGACTGTATCTAGAATTTTTTGTCCTACATATTAAAAAATACTTTTATGAAAAACCCGAATTGGCCTAAATTAATAAATTTTTATTAAAAAGCGACAAATATTCAAATATTCAAATATTTGATGGTTTTGTATGCTTCGAAATATTCTATCCCAAATTAATGATTCAAACCCGAATGTTCTATTAGACTTCGATAAGCTGAAATCACAAAAATGGGATCGATTTATCAAAATTCGGTTTTTGATGATTTACAATTATAATTAATTATGTTTTTTGGTTAACCAATCTTGTATCGTTATAAAATGAAAATCGGTTTATAGTGGTTCGGCTTATTGAGGTTTGACTGTAGTAAAATTTTATGTAATTTTTTGTGATCAGTAGTTTACATAGAAAATATAATGATTTCTGATCATTAATTTTCCAAAGATTCAGGTATCAAATTTATGCGAAAAGGCAGAGCTATAAAGAGTTTTCCTTACCTGTTCATGATCATGATTAGTTTTATTTCTTTATTATTTATACCATCATACTTTGCTTCCTCAGAGTTGTACCATAATCTATGATATTCATCATACATTCTTTAATTTGTGCTCATCTATAGCATGATCTGAGTAATCTTCCCATATTGTAAAAATTTCCCTCGTATGTCTTTTACTGAATTTACTGCTCTCTCTATTATACCTTGATTGGTATTCAAATGTATCATGCAAAATCAATGGCCAAAATACAGATTACCTATTCAGCATTTCATGCCCAATCCTCACTTGGTCTTAGAAGAATTTGGTCCTAGAAAAAAAAAATAGCAGGGGGACAGTAAGTCTAGTGATTTAACAGATTTTGATTTTTAGAAATGTTCCTAGATTCAAATCAAAAAATTAAAACATCATCAAATTCAATCAAATAATGCTAAAATAGGACATACATATTGGAAATTAATATAGCCATCCCATATCAATAAGATTTCTTGGTAGTGTGGAACAACCATCCTATCCTCATCTTTTGTACAACTAAATTCATCTTCTTAAGATGGCAAAGATGATTTCATTTGACATTGTTGAATGAAGTTATTAACTATGTCATTTCTAGATGATCAAGTATTGAAAAGACTCTGTAATTGTAAATTAATACAGCCTTCACAGAATCCATCAGAGTATTTTATCAATTTACATTCTTTTGATTTTCCTAATTTATATTAATTGCATTATTTAATCCAATCTCATAAATAAACAATATTCTTTTTCATTTTCAGAAAGCACTTTTTTTTTAATTAATGAAAAAAAAAATCCCTTCTCTTTGATGATAATAATGATAGTAATTTATTATATGACACTATTATATATATAAACAATTTAAAAAGATGATATAATTTTATAGTAAAGCCTTAAAAAAAGTATGCAATCTCCAATATGTTTAACCCGCCCACTAATAACATTTTGACACAAGAAAAGAGAAGCTATATTCTTTTTATGTAAATTAAATTGAGCCGTAAGCTTCATCATTTTTATGCCAATAAAAATTACTTTCAAATTACCTCTCTTAGTACGTAATAATGAAATTAATGATCATTCGATTTTAATTTATACAAGAATGTCAAAATACAATACTATTTGGAAATTGTGTCGGTCTTGTGATCCAAAGGATGGGACTAATGATAATTGAAACTAGACAAACTAATTAAAAATACACAATCTAAAACACATCATATGAGAGCTCTACTTGTATTCAACAAATTAAAAAATATTGATAGATAATGATGTGGATTTTTCTATTAATTTACATATTTACTCGGGTAGCTTTGCATATAGTTGCATTACGTAATCCAAGATTCTTTTAAAAATTATTTGTTAAAAGAAAATAAAACAGATTCTTTAGATATTAATAATATAATGATTTAATAAAGTTCATAAACAAAATCATTCCACAACAAAATATTCTAATACTTATTCACATATTGCAGATTTAGCAAATAAAATGACATTTCTAGGTACAACCAAACCTCATTACCTAATTAATGCGTGCTATAAACTGAAAATTTATATTTACAAGCTTAAAAATCAAATTGATTAAATAATATAAATACAGCGGTGTATTGTCTCTATTTTAATTGTTTTTTGTCAGGATTTTCATCTTCAAATTCTATCATAATTTCATCAGCTGCTACAGAATCCCCAGGTTTGACATTGACATTCTTAATTTTACCACTATTTGGAGCATATAATATATTTTGCATTTTCATGGCTTCTACAACTGCAAGTTCAGTTCCTTCAGTAACCTATAAATATAAAGAATAATTATAAATCATTATTATTATAATAATATATGATGTACACATAGATGTACATATATTTGATGGTAATTTATCTACCTTGTCACCAGCTTTAACCGAGACACTGACAACACTGCCAGGCATGGGACTCAATAACACTTTAGATGTGTCTAATTTTGGTTTATCGGCCATGTATTTAATTAATTGGTGCTGTAATTCATTGTGAATTGTGATATCGAATTTTGTTCCAACATGTTGAAGACGCAGTCCAACGGGTAATGGCTGCAAGTATTGTACTGTAATATTTTTTTCTTTTTGATTTTCTTGTTGTTGAAAATGTGCATTTACCAAAGGTGATTCTAATGGCCATCTGGCAGTGATGTTTGTTTTTGGAAATCCTTCACAAGTAATCTATTATCATTATTATTATTGATAGACAACAAAATAATTAGTATAATATATATATATATTTCAATAAATACACACATACATATGCATGTGTTATACCTCAAATAATTCTTGTTCTTCTAAACTTGTACTACTTTTTTTTTCAATTTGTACATATAAAGGTTCAAGTTCAGTATCAGCATGAACTTTTATCCAGAGATTCCATTTTTTTGGAGCATGTCCAGTCAAATCACCCTTGAACAGTGCCTCTTTACCACCACCCCAACACCAATTACGATAATCTCTTTTAGCATGAATTAATGCAGCAATTGAAGCAAGTTCATATAAAGATTCATGATTTAAAGCATGTCCTTTAAAGCCTTCTGGAAATTCTTCTGCTAAAAATTTCGTTGAAATATTTCCAGATCTAAATCTTTTACTTGCAATCACTTCACGTAATAATGGAATGTTGTGTGTGACACCTTTTATTATGATGTGTATAAATGAATGCAAATAAGTTATATATATAAATATAAATATAGACATTAGAATAAATTGTATCATTTATTTACCTTTTATAACGTATGAATCTAGAGCTCTTAACATTGTATCAATAGCTTCTTGTCTAGTGTCTCCATAAGTAGAAAGTTTACATATCAATGGATCATAATAAATACTTATTTCACTTCCTTCCACAATACCAGAATCACATCGCACTTCTTTTTTATTGGTAAGACTAACTGGTTCAATATATTTACTAAGCCTTCCAATAGATGGTAAGTAATTTTCGGGATCTTCAGCATAAACACGTGATTCTACTGCCCATCCGTTAATGTTGATTTCTTCTTGCTTCATTGATAATTTTTGATTTGCAGCAATCCTTATCATTTGTTCAACCAAATCAAGGCCTGTAATGTATTCGGTTATAGGATGTTCAACTTGTAGACGTGTATTCATCTCAAGAAAATAGAAATTTCTTTCTGGATCTACCAAAAACTCAACAGTTCCAGCAGATACATATCCAACATGTTTAGCAAGTAACGCTGCTTGTTCGCCCATAGCTTTTCTAGTAGATGGATTCAAATGAACACTTGGTGCTTCTTCAATGACCTATTTATTATTATTCAATTAATTGGTTTATTAAAAAACAAAATCAGGTAAATAATATATACAATATACATTTTACCTTTTGATTTCTTCTTTGGATGGAACATTCACGTTCTGGTAAATAAAGAACATTGCCAAAATTATCAGCAAGTAATTGAATTTCAATATGACGTGGATTATCGATATATTTTTCTATCAATAATCGATCATCTCCAAAGCTTGAGAGTGATTCTTGGGATGCTAATTTAAATCCATCAATGACTTCTTGATCATTCCTATATTTTTACCATGTATAATCAGCAAAATCATTCATTGTGTTAACTGGAAGATATTGAAAATAAACCTACCAAGCAATTCGCATACCCTTACCACCACCACCAGCAGAAGCTTTAAGCATCACAGGATAACCAATTGATCTTGCTTAAATAAAAAAAACCCAATTAAATTGAGGTGAAAATAATAAAGGAAAGATGATGATGATAAAGAAAAATAAAGTTGTGTAATTTTATGTTATCACCTATTTCTAAAGCATGGTCTGTATTTTCTATAACTCCATTGAATCCAGGAATAGTGTTAACACCAGATTTTTTTGCAATAATTTTACTTTGTATTTTATCACCCAAATCAGCCATGGCAGATTCACCAGGTCCTATAAAAGTTATACCGATATCTTTTAAAGACTTTACAAAATGATGATTTTCTGATAAGAAACCATATCCTGATTATAATTATATATGCATCAAGTAATTTAAAAATCGAAAGATAATCAATAATCAAAGATTAATTATAAATTATCAAGTGTTAGATTATTAATGAATGATTGAAGACCTGGATGTACAGCTTGAGCACCGGTATCTTTGATAGCTTTGATTATATTAGGAATATTTAGATAACTTTGATTTGTCGGAGGAGGGCCTATATTGACTGCTTCATCAGCCATTTGTACATGTAAACTGTGAGAATCAGCATCAGAATAAACGGCCACTGTTTTGACACCCATTTTCTTAGCCGTCCTGATCACACGACAGGCAATTTCTCCACGGTTTGCAATTAAAATTTTATCAAAAGTCTAATAATTAAACAGACAAGAAGTATTATTTACCAAAAAAAAACGCGTTTTTTAATAACTTAATTAATTTTTATTATCATTACTTTTCCATAATCAATATTTTGTTGTTTTTGTTGTTGTTGTAAATTAATGTCAAACTTTGTAAGAGAAGAATGAAGCTGTCTAATCACTTGACTTGTTAAAGGTTGACAGTAATGATATTTTGTTGTAATATTTTTTTGATTAAATATATGAGAATTAATAGTAGTAATGCGAGTTCTGGTAAATGTCTTACTTGTAAACATTTTAACAGATTTAGAAAAATGACAAAATATATTTTATGGATATTTATAATGTATCAAGCAATAGCAAACAATCAACTGTTTAACTCTATTTTAATTTTTGTAAAAAAAAAAATCATTCGATCGAATGAAATTTTAAATTCATACACGTGAAAGTCAAGTTACCCAATCGGAATTTTGTATGAAACGCCTAACACAGTTAGCAATACTTCTATTTATGTGAAGATTTTCGGTAGATCTTATCATTACTGATTATCTTTAAAAAATTTATTTTCGATGGGAAAAAAAAATGATAAAAAAATTTAAATTTACAAATGGTAAGAAATCATAATTGGGGGTTTTTTTTTAATTTTTAAATATAAAATTTACATGTATAATTAATATTGTCAATGTTGATCAATAGTATCACCATCTGTCTTTTGTTCCTTTGTTCCAAAATTAATTTCCAAAAGACAATTTCACGTCACATCAATTAACAAGAAAGATGACAAGAAAGATGACAAGCAAGATGGCAAGAAAGATGACAAGCAAGATGACAAGCAAGATGACTTTGATCGAGTAAAGTATGAAGTATCTCCAATATATCGTGAAAAAGCAGGACATTTGCTAGATCTTAAAGGATCAAAAATCTTTACAGAGGTAGATATTCATTGATAATAATATTAATATATTAATATATATAATATGTGTTTGTCGTCTTTATATTAATTTGAATATGAATTGGAAAATTTAAAAAGCATCGATATTCAACAATGAATTTTCGTATTTCACCGCGCAAATTAAATTTTTTGGGACGTCAAATCGCAAAAAAACCATTGAACGAAGCGATAAAACAAATGGAATTTTCACATAAAAAAGCATCAAAGAAAATAATGCATTCATTGATAACGGCTAGACATCATGCACAGTTATATAAAAAGATGAACATTGACAATTGTTATATAGGTAGACATGTTTCCATCATTCATAATTGAAAATATTGAAAATATTGGTTATGATTATGATTTACTTTTTTGATATAGAACAAGCTTGGGTTGGTAAAGGCTATTATCGTAAGAAACCAAATTATGCAGCTAGAGGTAGAATGAGTTATATGTTAATTAAGAAATCTCACATGAAGTATATAATAAAAGAGAAGAAAGTGAACTTGAAAGAGGAGGAAGAAGGTATTAAACGAAAACGTAAATATAAAGGCTTTAATTATGAGAGAAAAAAAGTCTGGATGCCTTTAATTGAGAACAAACCAATTTATAATCCATCTAAATTTTATAATTGGTGATAATTACCGACGGTGATAAGTGTTGATATGATGATAATTGGACGAAGATTTGAATTGATGATAGTCAGTGAACAATAATAATTATTATTATAGCAATCTTGAGCGGTAGTAATAATGATAGCATGAAGAATATAATAAAGAAGAATGAATAATAACAAATGAACGACGAATAAATGAACTAGTTAAATTTTTTTGACCAAGATATTATAATAATAATTATTATTGTAATGTAATTTTTATTTATTCACTACAGTTATTTATTTATTTTCCTTTTCGTTGTTTCCTTCGATTCTATTAACATCATCTGATTGATTGATTTCCTGCTTTTTTTTATTAATCTCTTCACGAAGACGTTTCATTTTTTCCATTTCCTAGACAAAAAAAAATGATGACGATGACGATGATTTATATCACTAAATAAAATAGATTATTATTGAATTCATTGATTCATTATTTATTAATTTATTTATACTTGAAGTCTGATATAACGTTCTTCTTCAGCTCGCTCTTTCTTTGAAAAAACAGTATTTCCATCACGAATATGTCCTTCAGGTATATTCTGGTCAAAGTGAGATGATGACATTACTGAAAAAATTTCTTTTAATGAATTAAAGGATTTTTTAAATTTTACTTGCAATAATCAAATCTACTACTACTAAGTTTAAACTATACTATTATTTCATTATAATAACAACGTCATATTTATTAGAGATCAGCATCACATGGTTAATTTTTTAATTACTATTACTAATGTTCAGATGAAGAATAGCCAGAATTCCTAGCGTCAACAAATTTTTATACCGTTCGCTTTGATCTAGACAATTGTAAATATGAAATACGTCCAATATACATACAATCGATAAACTTTATTGTTTCCTGATAGAAGCAACTACTCTTGATGAATTAATTGCTTTTCTTTTTTGAAGACAATGTAGTTAATTTTATCTATTGTAAAACAATACTTAAAGACCAGATCCAACAATCAAAATAAACAAAGGTAAAATTGCTTGATGTTGATTTGGGATGAAACAGATCTATCTATTAATATGAATACTTTGGGAAGGAGAAAATACGTGTTAGGGAATATTTCCACGTCACACTTTATTTATATTTTAAACATGAATTTTTTGGTTTATAATAACATTTGGACTCTTTTAAAATACTAATTTTAAAAATGTTAACTGATAAGCTTATTATCTTGACTGAAAATTGGTTAGTTGGACGAGAATAAAATAACGAACAAGGAAATTTGGGGTCAATCAAAACTACAAAACTAGTCCGATAATAGAAAAAAACCGATAAAAAAGTATGCATCGAGTAATTGGGCTCTTTGTGAGAAGAAAATGTTTTTTTTTAGGGTTGTTACAGTCACCGCCTAACTTTTTTGACCGGTTAATCGGATAAGGACCGTAATTAAATGTCATATTAAAATTTAGTTAAAATCAAATTAGATCGTGTCAGTTATCTCTCTATAACCGATCTCGATGACTGACGGATTTCTCTAAACCGAGATTTTTCCTAGTACTATATCAAATGATACGTTAATATACTGGCAAATAAAAAAATATTAATATATGAAACTTCCTCCAAAGATATCATTTCCTAATATGAAAAAGATATTTGAGATTCATCTTTTGATATATATATATATTAATATATAAAATTGGCTGTTGTCCTTGTAGTTTTTAAAAGTTTGTCTATTGACTATTTTTCGCTTTACAAGTCATTGAATTGACCAATAAGGAAGAACATCTAGCTACCAATGACATTGAACACTAAAAAAATTAATGTTAAATAGTATACATGCATCCAATTGAACAATAACAAATGTTACAAAGAAAAAAAATCATAATTTATAATTAATAAACATTATCGGATTGAATTAACACTTTTGAATAACAAATTCCTCTTCCAGCCAAATGACCAAAAGCGGCCAAATGGGCAAAACGGCCAAAATGGCATGACATTATTATTGTAATTCTCATGTGCCTAACCGGTTAAATCAGGACCCGAAAACTATCCACTGCATCCATAATATTCCCCAAATTTGGAATGATTTCGAAAATCAGCCAATCATGATTTTTTATGAATTTTTCGGTTAAACGGCTAAATTGCGACGCGATTTCCCCAAAAAAAAATTTTCAAAGACAAAATGTTTTGAATTTCGAGTAATATATAAACGATCTACACTGTAGCCCTTACATCAATCGTGTATTTTTCGGCCCTTCCCTTTACTATTCTGCTGATATTTTCCAAATTGGCCCAGTGCGCATATCGATTAAAAATTTCGAAAAGAAGCAGAATCTATTGATACTAAACGGGTTTTTTTATTAATTGGTTTGGGTGATTTAAATTTCAATAAATAAAGAAAATTTTGATGTTTCACTGAATGGCTTGGGTGACAAAATACAAAAAAAAAGAGACTGCTCTTTTGGGTTCCATACTCCAGGGTCACACTTTTGGTTTACGCTTCACGAAAAGAGAGATTGATTTAATTGTGAGAATTCGATCGTTTAAAAAAAATCAATATTACAACAATAAATACAAGTATTTATTTTCGATTTTTTTAAAATTTTACAACGAAAGAAAATGTCATGAAAATAAAAATAAATTGCAAGAATAATGTATGTATAATAAAATAAAAAGAGAAATTAATTTACATTAATATATTTTTAACTGGTTTAAAGAAGAATTCCAATTAATTATATGTACATACATGCAAAATAAATAAATATAAAAAAATTGTTCACATAAATAATGGACGGCAAGAATCTTATCAATCCGTATTATACATATTCCCATCCATCGATTCTCGATCATCGATCTTCAATCTTTTTAATCGACCTTTCAATCTGTTTTTATTTCAATCCATCTTTTCCTCTTTCCTCTTGATATTATTTCTTATAAATTTTGATCTCTCCTGTTTTTTGTGATCATGTTTATTAAGAGTGATTGATATTTAAAAATAGAAGTTTAATCACCAAATGATAATTCTCAACTCCTGAAGATTTTTATTATAATTGTCATCACCAAAGATAATTATACTTGCTGTTGCTGTTCTTGTACTTCTTCTTCTTCTCCTTCTTCTTTATGATTATGATGTGGGATTAATTTATTGTAATATCGTTTGAAATGTTTACCAATTCTCAATTTTTTTTTATCTTTTTCGGTGACTGGTACAGCGGTAATAACCAACACATCATCATCATGCTCTTCATCATACGACGTCGAAGATCTTGGTGAACTGGTTGTTTGATCATTATTCATATCCATATCATTATTATTATCACCACTTAAAGGACCAGGCCAAACAAAAGGAGTGATTTTTATAATCCTACCATTCTTACCATCTACCCTAACCTTACCCAAATCTTCAATTTCAACAATGACATCTTTCTGTTTTAAAGAAGCTTCTCTTGATATTTTCTTACGAATTTTAGCTGGTGGAGGTGGCACGTGAGGAATAAAAGTGACAGTTTTGTTGAATGAAACACTACGATTTCTTCTTGGTAAATTTTTAACTTTAGGTAAATCGGGTAGAGTGCTATCGGTAGGTAAGGAAGATGATGTGTGCAACGATGATGGTGGTGATGATGATAAAGAAGAAGTGGTTATGGTTGATGTTTGCTGTCGCGGTAATATTGTTGATGATGGTGATATATCAACAGATGAATCAGTCATTTCAATATCTTGGTCATTTTCTTTATTTCCAACTTTATCATCATGATCATTTTCATGTTCCAATATTGTTTGTGATGATAATGTCTCGTTTTTGTTTGACGAAGACGAAGACGAAGATGATGCCTTGTTCATAGTTGTAAAAGAAGTTGAAGAAGTGGAGGAAGAGGAATTGATAGATGTTGATGATGATGACTCCAAACTTTCCTGTGAGTTTTCTTGTTCTAAAAGTTTTATTATTTCTTTTTTCTTCAAGTCCAATGTATCATTTATATGCCATACCTGTTTAGCGTCATTTAAAGTGTTTTTATTGTTATTGTTATTATTATTGGTGTCAGCAATGACAATGGAAGAAGTTTTTGCTTCTACGTCAATATTTGTTGTAGTAGAAGGCAGAATAGTATTTTGAGCTGTCATTTTTTAATTTTGTTTTATTATAAAATAATTTATTTTAAAAAAAGAAAAAAAAAGAGACATATGATTTTTTTTTAAAATAGAAATATTTAATTGGAAAAAAGTAAATGGGAAAGTTCTATTTATTAATTTATTTGTATTATTTTTAAAAAAATAAGACGCTGTTAATGAATGATGTTTGTTTTGTTTATTATTATTAACTATATATTATTATTATTATTATTATTATTATTATTATTTTAAAATTGATTTTCCGTTTGATTTCTTATTATTATGTCATAAATATCCTCTTTTAGAAATTTTAAAGATAGACTTGAGAATTAGTAAGAGAAATGAGAAAGAAGAGTAAATGAAAACGAGTTGTTTGTTATTATGCTCGTATTCTACATTATAAAACTTTTTGTTAGATATTTATATCATCATACAATAAATACACACTATCACATCATTATCATATTGTGTACTTATAAATAATTATTAATTAATATACTGCCTATTTAAGTTTATGCAAGTTTGTTTATATGATGATGAATCATTGATGATTAATGAGAGTTTATTTAGTTTTAATTTTTAATTTAAATTAGTTCATTTTTAAAAAAAAAATTCATTGCTGTCATTTTTAATTAATTAACATCACCACCACTCTAGAGCTTTCCCTTCCGGATCTTTAAAGCAGTATAGAAAGAATTATTATTGTATCGTAATTTTTCCCTATCATTCATTGTGTTTGAGTGAATGAGTGGGCGTGATTTTTAATGATTTGTACTACAATTTTTTATTACACAAAATTAAATTAAAAGGTTCTAACCTCTTGCGGCCTACAATCAGATGTAATAAGCCTCATGTCGCGCGAGCGGCTCCTGTTTAACATAAAATACGGACTCTATTACATTTCTCAATTTCTCAACCAATGTGAAATTGCAAGATTTATATTTAAAGCTCTTTGATGCGTCCACAACACCCACTCGTTTTAGCATGATGATCACCTCACAGTTAAATTATAGTTGTCTTTTTTAGATCCTAAAATTTTCCGAAATAATAAAAATTTGTCGCACAAAGAAATTCTCGAAAATTTTTTTTGTTTTTTTAGGGTAATATTTATCCTCATCAAAAAATACTACACGAGATAACATCAAATATTAATTAATTAACCTGATTTTATTTCCTCTATTATCATTTATTGATTTTTATCAATTTAAACAAATAAATAAAAAATTAAATAAATAAAATCAATAAATAAAACAAATAAAATAAAATAAATAAATAAACTAATTAAGAATAAAATTCTATTTAATTAACCCAATTCAAAATCATAAAGTTGATTGATTATTATTATACTCCTAAAAATAAAAATATTTTTATTAAAAATTAATAGATACTCATAAGTCCATTGTCCATCAATAGTTATACATGTCTCTCATTTATCATATATGCAATTAAAGTGTGAGTGTGTGAATATGTTGTTACCTAGTACTCCTCAAATGATCTGTTATTTACATCAAGATTGAATTATGACAATCGGATTTTAATTCTTTGTTTGGTAATACAATACAGTTACGTATAAATACTTCATCTTGAACTATGACTTCCTTGGCTATATATTAGTTAAAAAATTAAGTTTCCATATTAATATAGATAGATGTGCTTTTGATAAACTTTCCCCACATCTCCCGTACAATTTCCCCACACATTTTCCATCTCATTCAAATTCATAGACTTACCAAGAATAGTAATTGATTGAACTACAATACCATCTTGAATAATAGATATTTGATCATTGGCTTGTTGTGTTCCCTCTACGCGTGCCCAAGTGCCGATCTTAGATCCCCATCCAATGATGCTATTCAAAATACAACTATTATCCTTGATTTCCACATTATCCAAAATAATCGAATTCTTAATACGAACTCCTTTTCCTATAACTACTCGAGGTCCAATAGAAACATCCGGTCCAATCTAAATTAGATGATAATAAAAATGAGAAATATATATTTACAAAGTATATTTATATTTATATTTATATTTATATTTATATTTACTTTGGCAGTTGGATCTATAATTGCTGTATGATGTTTATATACACATCCATGTATTTCAGGTCCACCTTCTTGGTTTTTTAATAAAAGGTTTGGATTGGTTTTTAAATATTTTTTAAGAAATGACGCATTCACTGGAACTGCAGAACTACCTCAATGAATATATATGTGTGTTGTACGTATGTATGTGTACATATGAGTAAATTAATTTTTATCCAAGAGTGAAAAATAATGTAATTAATTAAATTACCTTGGCGTTTTTATTTGTCTCCAAAACTCTTTTGTCTCATAGACGTATAACTTTTTAGATTCTGCTAATGGACGAATGATATCTTGTTCCAATCTGAGTTTCTCGTTATGTTCTTGAAAAACATTTTGACTTTACAATCGTGATTTATTTTTCATTAAGGAATTAGAAATTATATGATAATTATAATAATTATACCATAGGAGGAAATAAGGATACTCTAGTTGATTTGATTTATTTGCCATTGCCTTTTTCATCTCAAGAAAAATAGCACAATCAAATAAATAAATTCCACAGCTAATCAAATCTGAAATAAAGCTTTCCGGTTTCTCAACATAATGCAAGACTTCGTGACTATCTGGTTTGGCTACAAGACATCCATATTTGTGAGCATTTTCACGATTTATCTATTGAACATATACATTAATATGTATATGTATATATATATATATATATATACGTATAAAATAATAATAACAATAATATCTCTAAATCATTATCCCAATCATCTCCATAGTTAATATTACCTTTTTGCCTAGTATGGTACATAAACCTCGATGTGTATTATGAAATTTCATCATTTCGGCCAATGGAAAATCACATGCAACATCTGCATTCAACACAAAAACATGTTCTGGTTTATCACGTTGAATTCCATCTCGAAAATGATAGATCCCTCCCGCTGTTCCCAACGATTGATATTCTCGAAGGTATCTATGATGATGTAGATGAAGATTAAGTTAGGTGATGAGTTTAGATGGTGGCGGTGGTGGTATTATATTATTAACAGTTATTGTTTATATTATTATTATTAAATAAAGGTTATTGTTGTTAATATTAATCCAAAGATGTTCTCACCTAATGTTAATTCCAGGAAAGTCTATCGATGCATCATCAATAAATTTTTGAAAAACATTATCTTCATAGAAACCAATCAACAGCACTTCTTTTAAACCTTCTACTTTAGTTAAAGCTTCTAAATGATGCCAAATAATAGGATAACCCGCTACTGGAAATAAAGGTTTTGGAACATCAAGTGAAAGTGGTCGAAAACGTGTACCACGAGATGGCCCCCCAACGATAATAATAGCTTTACAAGTCATCATTTGGAAATTTAAAATTTTTTACAAAAGCTGTGCATCGAGCATCTTTTATTATTGTTATTGTGTGACAAAATAAGACATAGGCTCTTACCAAAATAAAATATTATAGAAAATCGAACTTTTATAGAACGTGAATAAAAATTCTATTATTGCTGTCATCTCTGCCTTTCATATGAGTATACTGCAACAAAACCAGCCAATCCAAGGATCTACAACAAGGGTTAACCTTACTATTTGAGACATCGATCCTAAGGTTAAACCTCTTACCGGTAAACCATCACCCAATCTACTAATTAAAATTGGGTTTACAAATAACCACCAAACCACCCAGACACCCCTGTTAAAAGGTTGAACCTCATGTTTTGAGAATGTAGATCCTTGGATTGGGGTGAACAAAACCCAACAAAGTGAACATCTGTATTACCAAAAATTTCAGGGATCAAAATTATAGGTATAATTAATGATTGTCATTCCAGGAAATTAATTTAGCGTAAACTTGCATAAATCTTACGATGCCAACGTAATATTGTGTAAATCTTACAGTGCCAACGTAAGTTTTACACTTTTTTATTATTAAACTTACAATTGACACGTGTAAAATTTTTTTATATTTTCCGGATGACCTGCTTTGATTAGTAAAGTTTTGTGATATTTAAATGAAGATAGCAAATCATGTAAGAACCAAAGAAGCCAGAGCTTTACTAAAATAAGCAATTATAGATGCAAATCCAGGTATTTGATTAAATAATGTAACACAGATTATTATTTTGTTTGGAAAATAGCCCCTATTTTTCTTATAAATATAGAAATGATATACAAATACTGAATTTTTGGGTCAAAATTTCTTTTTTGATTGTCCCAAAATCATGATTTTGCAGCTAGGGCTGTTTCTATTTTCCACACCCCATATTAGAAATGGCAATTTATTCATTTCTCAGGGGGGTCCTATATAATTATGGTGCAAGACCAGATGTGGTTGTATTCAATGGCATTTAAGAGGATTGTTAATGTCCTGGTCTATTTGTTTACAGGACCAGGATGATACCATAAAGTCTTGAAAAATAGCACCCCCTGAAAGATAGTACTAAAAAATTGGGTAAGTAAATATAAAATTTAATAATAGCATATTATTTTTTCTTTCTTTTCTTTGTTCTAGCATTTTATTATATTAACTAAAATATCTTTACAACATATTTAGATTATGACCAGCAGTTACCATGTTGTTTATAAACAATCATTTTGGGTATTTATATCAACCCATCTGGAATATATGAAATATTTGTTGGGTATTTTCATAAAAATAAAGTAAGTAAACCACAAGATTTATTGATTTTTTCTAGATACTTGTAGTAATTAATATTAAGGCTATATCTATAATTTCTACTATCAAGTGCCATTTCACATAAAAAAGTCAAAGGAAATCAAAAGTCTGGGATTACTTTGAAGAAAAAGCAAACAATATTTACTGCAAAGTAGTGCAAAATATGCTGATTCTGACATCAACTTCAACATTAAATTGTCATTTAAAGCATTGTCATCAAATTTTAATTAATGTTTAGATTTTACATTATTTGTTTAATAAATGTATTTATTTATCATAATTCAAATTTTTTTAGAAAATCAATTTAAAACAACCAAAATTAGCAGATGTATTTGAAAAAACTAAAGAACATCCACAACACAAGATGAATGAATTACATCTTGCTGTGGCTGAATGGATTGTATTAGACTCTTTATCTTTTAATATACTACATGAGAAGATTTTAAAAGATTTATCAAGAAAATAGATCCTAAATTTTGTGTACCAAATAATAAAACAAAAATATTATTGCAGACAAACATCTTTCAATACCTGTAATGTCTGTGCCATCTGAAAGACTTTTAGTGATGCTGGTAATCAAATAATTGCAAAAAGGACTAGATTAAGTTTTGAAATTGTTAACAAAATTTTATTTTTAAAAAAGAATGCAAATAATTAAAAAATTAAATTTATGAAAATTTTATAATAGTTATTTTACTTTAACTACAGTAAATATGGCAATGGTAATCTTGTTCATAACCAGTTAACCAGTTAAAAAAATTAACAGTTTAACAGTTAATTTAATCAGTTAAAATTAATGGTTAACCAGTTAACTGAAGGTTTTAATAGTTATTTAACTGGTTAAAGAATTTTTAAATAGTGCCAATCCCTAATACAATAAAATAATAACATACAACAATTGAATAATTACCCCTCCCCCCATTGTTAATGGTTAAATAAACACATTTTACCTTATCACGAATTTTTGTCATAGTTAAGAGGAAAAGCCATTGTAATTGTTCCGTGAACCTCTCTGATGGTTAGTGGTCTGGCCAAACTTTAATCATTAGATAGGAACCCTCATTTGATTGTTCTATGTTGCTTGTAGGGACACCTCAAGTGGTATAATTGTAAATATTTTTTGTATATATTTTTTATGATTTATTTATTATCTTAGGCTGTGTGCCAATAGTGCTTAGCATTAGCATTACAGTAGGAATTGCACAATAGATTTATTTTAGGAAGGCTCCTGAGTTGTGTGCAGAGACAGAGGCCTTGTGAGAGATTTTGGGCTGTGTCTCTGAAGGCTCCTAGCTGTCTGCAAAGATGGAGGCCTTGTGTACAGAGACGGAGAAACTTTATAATTATTGGGCTTTATGCTTTATATTTTATATATTTATTTATTTATTTATTTATTGGACATGTCACAAGCTAGTAACTGGAATTTACTTGCTCACAATATAAAATGATCTAAATATCTTAGAAACGGATAAAAATCAAATTATGGAGCAAAAGTTGTCATGCCTTTCATTACATAGTAAGGATGGTTTGGCTCTGGAATTTTTGGAATTGCATCATTGTCAAGAAGAATGTTAAAATTTTAGTATTTTTCTTCCTCTTTGTTTCTGTTTAAAACTATAGAATTTACAAAAATCTGTACTTAACATTGTCTTATTTACTATGTAAAAGCCATTCTACATATTAATATTATTAATATTGTTTTATGCTTACTTTTACGCATAGTTAACTTCAAAATCAAAAATCAAAAGAAACAACTCGTGTGTATGTAAAAATTGCTCTACATGCATATATACTGTATGTGCGTTTCAAACTCAGGCACGCAATTTGATTTTATGAAATGTAGTTTGAAAGTTTAGCATTTTATTTCGAAATTCGTTGTAATGCAAATTTGATTATAATTTGTTGAAACAAGGTTTGATGTAGTGAATTTATACAAAGCTAATAATTGAAACTATGAATTTTTATTTAAAAAAGCCTTTTTGATATTATAAATATGATAAAAATAATATCATATCATTACTATATATATATGCTCTATATTAATATACCAAACTAAATCATTCCTCAAACCCGTAGAAATTATGACAAATGTCAAAGATATGTTTCTTTATTATCAGTAATAATTGATGGATTTAAGAGAAGAGAGTTAAAAAATCAAGATTGTTTAATAAACCATCATTACTTGTATAACTTCTCGATTTAACAATCTCTTCATCTCATCTAATATTCTACTTGTATGATATGCATCTGGATGTGATTTGTGAACCTGTTACGAATTACCACTGCTGCTGCTGCTGCTACCAATAAATAAATCTACAGGATGCGAAATTCCTTTTGATTGGCCAATTTAATTTTCATAGCAATAATAATAGTAATAGTAATTTTTAGCGGATTTATTCAGTTGGGATCCGGATTGGCAAAATTATGTTATAAATGTTATATTTGTATTTGATACTTTGGAAAGACAGCTGAAAAAAGAGAATTTATTTCGTATTACTATTACTAATATAAGTAATATTTAATTACGAAAATAAAAGACATACTACTAATAATAATGACACTACAATACTATATTATACTATATATACAAAAAAATTTAATTAATTAATTTTTGGTTAGAAAAATGTCAAAGACACGTTTCACGATTAGTTTCTCCAGGAAAAATATATACAATTAATAAACAATTGCAGAAATTCACATATTGTTACTCAATAGAATGGGATTTTCTGGATAAAATCGGCATTTACCCGTAAAAATTATTCAGGACTCGGAAATTCATGTGCTTGCACTTTCACCTGGACTTTTTGTTTTCTTTATCAAGTAATAAAAATAAATAATAAAAATTGTTTATTTAAAATGTCAAAAGTTTGTTTTTTTAAAATAGTGCAACAGAAAGTGTGGGCATATATTAATATATTTATCAAATAATTCTGATGAGTGACCGACCCTATATAGAAAAGGACAGGGTACGGATTCAGCCACTTATACCTATACCTATCCCCTGTCCTTTTTAAATGTTTGCTCGCTATAAAGGGACAAGCGCGAACAGGAAAAATCAGGGATAGGTGGCCTTAAACAAATTTTTTATGCATAAAAATAAATTAAATCCACTCTTGAAAAGGACAATAATAATAAAAGACAATGTGTGTATATTGTCGTCTAAATAATATAAATTAACAAATAATTGCCTATTTTGTTATAGAAATGTGGCTTTGTTTATTGTTTATTTTGAATTGTGAATTATTCCGTTTTTCTTTGTCACTTTTGATTGGTTTTTTTAGACTTTAAAATCAAATTAGCAAAGTCTTATTTTTTTTTAGGCAATTAATTTTTGGCTAAAATATGTCAGATCCACATTTTAATATTCCCCAGTCCAACAAGCATAAGATCTTTCATTTATGAATGGCTTTTTGGTATAATCTAAAATTTAATTGATACAAGATAAATAAAATCGATATTTAAAAAAGGAAAAACTTTAAAAACGCGAATTTATACATATATATAAATATTAATCTCGTCTTGTCTTAACAGATTAAATATGGATAAATTATTAAAAAATTTGGAAAAAACAATTAACACAAATAAATATTTGAATGCAAATTACAAATAATTCACACGAAAATGAAGGCTCTTAATCACACTGGACTTGTGGAAATAAAATTTATAAACATAAAAAAGC